AAGCGCGAAGAGGACGGACACACGCATCAATGGCAGGTTTACCTGAAGCCCTATTATGACGAGGATATGTCGATATATGTGAAGAAAGTACACTTTAAACTGCACGAAAGCTATGCAAATCCAAATCGCATTGTTGTCAAACCGCCATACGAAATTACGGAAACCGGCTGGGGTGAATTTGAAGTTGTTATCAAAATTTACTTTAATGATCCATCCGAACGACCTGTGACCTGCTATCACATATTGAAGCTGTTCCAATCGCCCGTCGTGGACGGCGAGTTGACCTCGTCCACGACAATGGACACTAAAAAAGGACTTGTGTCTGAATCATACGAAGAAATAGTCTTCCAAGAGCCCACCCAGATAATGCAACATTATCTTACGCTCTCCGAACAAAGTGCAAATGGATTGCTCAGCCATGACACAGATTGTAAGTAATTATTAGTTTAGTAGAAGTATGAAGTAATCAAACCATTCTCATTTTAGTTGAAGAAAAGAAAGCTAAGACCCTGGACAACATAAACAATGTGAAGCTAAGGGTCAAAAGCGAGATCATAAGTCTTAAGGATAAGCTTAAGTTGGCTCGTGAGACAATTGTAAAATTCAAGGCGGAACTAGCAAAAGTCCAAAAACCACCTGCTTAATACCGAAAATTGTGAATATATGTTTAAGTGCATAAAATAAACTAAGCTGTATGAAAATCCAACCACATATTTATTATAAATTCTAGGGATATAAAGTGTGCTCAAACAGCAATTCGTTTTTCTTTAGAAGGCGTAGTTGATGCAAACCAGATCTATATATGTATTGAATATTATTATATATAAGGCTGACATGCGTGTAGATTCTGCTAGTCAATAATAAACAATAAAATTTAATATATTAATTCATTGAAGAAAAAGAGCACAATTAGTGTATTCTGTGTCGTGTTGTTTTCTTTTGGCTCTCTCTCTCTCGCATCGCACTAGTAAAAACACAGGCATCTATATGCACTTACACACACAGGCACACACTATTTATGCCTAATGAACCATTGAACCAGTTGAAGATTTTTTCAGCTGAATGAACCAGTCGACTTGAACTGGCGTCGCTGTCGTGTTGCAGCATCCAATTTCAATGGCAAATAATAAAATGTTATTGTTTATTTGTACATGTTGTTAAGTGTATTTAATTATTTACACGTCGGTAACTTGTAAGCGAAACTCGTTTCACAATAAACAATATATCGAGCATATAATGAGCGAACATACGACTGTGTGAAATCGAAAGAATAAAAACCTGCTTCCAGACTCTGCGCAAACGCGTCGGCTAGCTTAAGTCAAGAACCGAACAAAAGGAACGGAAGGGAAGCATAGGCAGGTAAGCATGCGCATTGCCTGTTGCCTGCTGGAAGCATTTCTAGTATACAAAACAACGCTTTGAATTTGATTGTTTTTACGATTTGGACTTGAAGTCGTTAAATTTGCACAGATTTGGCATTTGTAATTAGTTTATACCTTTTACAGCAGCGCTCCCAAATGTCGGTGACGCGACGCCACAAATCAAAGCCGTCGCTACTGCTGATGTTGCTGTCGGTGTTGACGTCGTTGCTTGCAGCAATTCCGGTTTTACAGGCCAATGCGCCGTCGGCAGGGCCAGGCGTACGAATACTGCGAGCGCCCGAATCTACAGTGGCGCCCTCTGGCGACGAGGTGGTGTTTCTATGCGAGACCAGTTTGCCGCCGGAACACTTCGAATGGAGCTACGCTTCGACCCGCAGCCATGCACCGCGCTTCAAATATTTGAAATCGAGCAGCGCCAAAAACAATTCCAATATAACCATAACCCATGACAATGACATATCCAAGCTCCGTGTCATTGTACGACCCGAAACTCTGGGCGAGTATCGTTGCGTCGCCTGGTTTGGACCCCTAGCTGTCACCTCCACCACAGCGCGTTTGGAGCTGGCCACCATCAGCGCCGACAACGTTGTCCAACGTTCCGAGTGGCGCGTGGCGGCAGGCAACACTGTGCTCTGGCAATGCGGACAGGTGGTCTCTAATCCGGCACCCACATGGAGCTTCTATTACAATGACATCGAGATGCCAGCTGCCTCGACACTGAGTGACTCCAGTGGCACGCTGCTGCTGCCACATGTCTCAACTGCAAGCAGCGGCACCTACACCTGCGTGGCTACCAACACGGCCTCGAGTCAGCGCCTGGCCATGCCCAGACGCTTGGAGTTGCAGGTGCCAGCTGCAGCTTTGCCGAGCACAGCGCCTGCTCTGCTGCCTGGGCAAAACGTGCAAACCAAAGTTTTGGCTCGCATAGGTGAGACTGTGTTACTGTTATGCCCGGGAGTGGGGTATCCTCCGCCCACAGCCGTTTGGAGCAGCCCCGATGTGTCTGGAGCTGTGTACAACAATCGCTCGCGAGTGCTGCCCTATGGACTGCAAATTGGTAGACTGCAGCCAAAGGATGCGGGCACCTACATCTGCTACCTCGACAATGGGATACGTCCAGCCTTGGAACATTTCATTAAGCTGGTGGTGCAACAAGCCCCGCGCATAGTGCGTCCGCCGAGCGCCAATCTGACCAATGAGGGCGAATTCATGGAGCTGGAGTGTGCGGCCACGGGCACACCCACGCCGAAGATCTACTGGTTACTCAATGGGGAGAACAGTGTCTACGATACCGAAGCGGAGCTGCCGGCCAATGGCTCTCTAATCTTGCGCCGAGTGCAGAAGCGGCATGCCGGCTGTGTGCAGTGCTTTGCGAGAAATGCGCTCGGCGAGGACAGCGCTGGCACTCTGCTCCAAGTCAATCCCACCCAGATACAGGCCGGCGATGGCATGGGCACGAGCGGCATGGGCAGGTCATCCAACCGGAACACACACAACCGCAAGCAAAAGCAAATGGTGCCACCGTCGGCTCCCAACGTTACCCGGCTATCAGATGAGTCTGTAATGCTACGCTGGCATGTCGTGAAGAACGATGGATTGCATATTCAGTTCTTCAAGGTACAGTACCGTATGACAGACAGCGGCAAGCGCAAGAGCTGGCAGACCACTAACGAAAACATACCATACGGTAAACAGCGGCACGATTCGGATGAGGCGGTTCGGAACTTCACGTCATCAGTAACGGGCTTGCGACCGGATCATAGCTATCGGTTTCGCATCATGGCTGTCTACTCCAACAATGACAACAAGGAGAGCAACACCTCGGGCAAATTCTATCTGCAGCGGGGCGCTGCTCTGGCTCCGTTGCCGGTGCCCGAACTGTTGGACATTAAGGAGTATTCACAGACGGCTGTCATGCTCCACTGGCGTCTGCCCAGCAATGCAGATGAGCAATTGATATCCGGCTACTATGCCTATTATCGACCCTCTGCTTCGGCTGGCGAGTACCTGAAGGCAACTATCGATGGTGCTAAGGCGCACAGCGCTCTGATCTCTGCGCTTGAGCCAGGCACAGTTTACGAATTTAAATTACAATCTTTTAGCGCCATGTCCGCCTCTGAGTTCAGTGCGCTCAAGCAAGGACGAACGCAACGACCCAGAAGCAGCACAACGAGCCAGCCGACGATGCATACCGTAGATACCACTACGCCGAGCCACAATGAAACCTTCAACATGAATCCGTTGCTCACGGGTACCATTAGTGGCAGCGCATTGCTAATATTGCTCGTGATCAGCGCCTGCCTCTGCCTATGCAAGCGTCGCCACTCACGCGGCGACAACTCACAGAACAAGCCGAGGCTAGCGGAGCTGCGCGAGGATTTCGTGCCGTTAAATACCTGTTCGCCCAACAAACCGCGCACTCGTCATATTCACATAACACTGAATCCGCTGGCTCAGCAGCAGCAACAACAGCTGCAGCAGCAACAACAGGACGAGAAGGACTCGCAGGATAATGAGTTGGGCTATTTCCAGCGCCAGCCCGTTGTCTACGATGCCGAAACGCTGGGTTTTAATGGACTTGCGCGTATGTCTTCCTCTTCGCTGCGACGCTCTCAGCGCACGCTGGAACGTGCCGCTGCAGGTGGCAGCTCTGGCGGTAACAACAACAATCTGAACCAGGCAACAGATGCCTCGCTGGCCCCATCGCTGGACAGCCCACGACTGCAGGCGTCCAACAAGCCAGGACGTGTTATTCTTAAGCGCTCACGCCTATCCAGCCGATCCGAGAATCTTTCATCGGGCAGCCTGAACAGCGTGGGCGTCTAAATTCGTGATCTTTAGTCTATGCTCATTTATAGGAGATATGCTATTCCTCTACCTCTGTTTTACAACTTTTAAAAACTTCAAATGACATTTACTTAAATACATTGTACTTAATGCATTAGCCCTTAAGTACTTAATTAGTTTTCTACACTTTATTACCTGTAGGAGCGTGAATAGCTCAAACGTGCATTTTATAATATAGTATTTACCTACTTATATAGTTAGTCTTCCAGCTCTTGAGATAAGTTTAATTTCTGTACTGATAGCTTCATAATTTTATATAAAAAAAAAAAAAAAAACAAACAAAAATGACAATAAAATTTTTCTAACTTTCCGAAAAAAACACTAAATTACAATTACAGAAACTTTTGCTTCTACATTAAAAAACAATAATAATACTCATTGGGGAATGAATTGATTTCTCTCTAATGTCTCATATTTGCCTTAAAAGGTTTCTGTTTAATATGTATATTCTTGCTTAAAGCTGCAAAGTTGACTCAGATTCCCATATTTCACGCCTACAGCAAAATACTATTCGCAAACAAAAAATTGTTATGAATCATCGAATCTGTTAACGTCTGTTCAGTATACGGGACAATTCATTTTTCATACATGGCATAGGTATAGATTAACTAGAAAGGAAAAGTAAATAAAACTGTTTCTATTATATTAGCCTTGCGAGCTACCGTCAAAAAGTTAATATTTCAAATTAAAGTTGAACGATAGACTGTCGATAAATTGATTGAGTTCGATAACAAATAATATGCACTGCTGTTTAAAAAAAACCGATGGCAACCTTCTCAGCTGTCAGCTGTCAAACCACCTAAAATAATTGGGTCGCACCAAAATTTCTAATAGTAACATTTTCGATGGTTTAATTTATTTTAAAAATTCTAATGATTGGCTAACAGAGTGCAGAGAAGAAACTGAATCAATAAATAAGTCATAAAACCTTTGCAGCGTAATACAAAAATAAACAGCCAGTACACAGCATAAGTTTAAGATGTTCTTTGTTACAGATAGCGAGAACCGCTGCAAACAAAAAGGAAAATCAGAATTGGAATACTTCAGAGGAAGGTAGATTGTAGCAAAAGGGTCGGCAATATGTCGAACCTATCAGTGGGACAGATGATAATGGACGCACAGCGTATGGCCAGTCGTGTTAAAGATTTGGATGCGCTGGGCACAGCACTGTTGGAAGAGGCAGAGACCAATAATCGTCTGGTTGAAAGCTTGCGTCAATATCAGGAGGATATTGAGTCACTTAATCGAGTTGCAAATAACAAGACGAATGCGGACATGGTCAATCGCATACAGCAACAGAATGTTAACAGCTCTGAGATCCTGAAAGAAAATCGTGAGCTTAAAATCTGTATTGAGGACTATGAGCGAGCCATGGAACTGATGATGCAAAAGTACAGGGAACACACAGTGACCAAGGTGCTGGACAACAAATTAAATTTCAAAGAGCTGTACAACGAACGCCTTTGGCAGGTGATACGCGAACAGCGCGAAAAAATCAACGAAATGGCAGCAGTCATGCACCGCGCGGCCACTGCGGATGACGAAAATGTTCAGCGGGAACTGCAAACGATATCACAGCTGCGTATGGAGAACGAAACGCTGCGCGAGCTGCTGCAAATTTCCAAGAAGTACGGCTCAGCACAGCGGCCCATACGCGAGAGCGATCATCTGCTTGAAGAGAAGGCGGTGCAAACGGATAATCAGGCAGATGACTCTGCCGACGATCTGTCCATATCGGGTGCTTCGGTAGAAAACATGAACAACAATTCAGTCATACAAATGTACAGCAGTCATGAGGTGATCACCAGCACAAGTAATACCAGCAATAACTTAGCAATCACTGCCTCAGTAAATGCGCTTAGCGCAGCTCAGCTAATCAACACAGTTGGTGAAACTATCGATGCTGCTGTTCCTGTTGCTGCTGCAGCTGGTGGGAATACATCAGAGCATACTAACGCCAATGAGAATAATAATGAACCTGCTGTACAGGGCACGCCAGAAACGCCAGCCAAGCCAAGCCAAGCGGCGGCGGCAGTAGCGGGAGCGGCAGCACCGACGGCAACGTCAACGGCATCAACATCAACGACGACACCGAACGATGTAGAGGACGAGCACACGCTCCCAGTTGTTGGCGGTGCCGTTGTTGTGGTTGGTGCCAACGCAACATGATAAGTGCTGATTATACAGCATTGTCTGGATTGCATTGTCACGTGTCATCATCTCCAGTCAGTCATTGTCTGGTTTGCATTGTCATTTGTCGTCATCATCTCCAGTCAATCATTGTTAATTTTTATTCGCTTAACAAACACGTATTTTATTTCCGGCGCAAAGCACTCATCAATCAGCACTCTATTAACAACAGATATAAATACACACACCCGAACACACACATTACTCTGCATTAGCTCATAGCGACTAATAATCTCTAAGTAATTTATACATGCATACAATCTAACGTCTGTGCCAAGCGCAACAGAACGTTTATCAGAAATCTTGCACTCACTCACACTCTATAATCCATGTTGTACTCTGTCGACTTATTATGATTTTTTAATAAATGCCAGAATAGAAGTTGTCTTTGATCAATTATTAAAGTGGAAGTAGGCTTGCTTCTTCCTATACATTAGACATTAACTAAATATATAATAATCTAATTCATAACAACAAGTAAAAAATCCATGGAGCACACTATTAAGTGCCAATATATCTCAAATATTTTTTATTTTAGAGAAAGATTTATAAGATAATATTATTAATTAAAACTTGTAAATTCTTATTCTGTTTCTTAATATTTATTTAAGGCACTATTGAACAGCGATGAAAACTGCAGAAATCACAAATACTCTGTTTTTGTACCCTGAAAATGTACCATTGAAAATGGGAAATCAGGGTGTAATGGTTTTATTAAAAGTATGTAACAGGCAGAAGGAGGCGTGGCAGACCCCATAAAGTATACTATATATTCCTGATCCGCGTGACGTGCTCAATTGATTTAGCCCTGTCCATCTATCCGTATGCTTTAACGCGTCGGTCTTAGAATATATTAGAGCTAGAAACTTGAAATCGTTTGGCTAGGTCCTTGTATACCACGCGCATATCGAGTTTTTCATCAAAAATCGATAGCTTGTCCCGTTATTTTGTTATCGGTTAAAAACAATATCGAAAATCAGTAATAAATTGATATGTAGCAACATCTTTAAAGCTAAAGTCGCCAAATTTAAAATGTGTTTTATAGAATTTCGATTTTTGTTAAAATTTAAGCATTTAATACTAGGAAAATCACTCGCAATTCCCAGGCATAAGCACTGGTATACATTTCGTTGATGATTTCTCAATCCTATCCTTCGTTTTTGTCTCTTCTTTTACTCATTTCATTTATATTTCATTTATATCCTGAACCCATTGAAAATAAGAAATGGTTTGTGAAAAAGTAAGTAACGGGCAGAAGGAATCATCGAGCCGAGCCGATTTAGCCTTGTCCGTCTGTTTGTCCGTCCGTATATTTAAACGAACCGATCTCATAGGACATACAAGCTATAGATTTGAACCTATTTTTAGAATGTCCGTATATATCACGCGGATATCGAGCTTATCACTAAAAAACGATATCTTATCCCGTTATTTTTATCGATAAACCCCTTATCGGAAATCAGTTATAAAATTATATCTTCTACATCTTTAAAGCTAGAGTCTCGGAATTCAAAATACATATTAAGATGCATTTTCTTACAACTTCGATTTTCGTTAAAATTTAACCCTCACCCTTATATTTGTTAAAGGCCTATTTCAAATACTAGAAACTTGTGCTACATAATAGTGCGCAATCACGCTCTGAAAGTTTCATTAAGATTGTACTCCTAGAAATATCATTATTCAACAAATAAATTCTCATAATATTGCCAACACTGCAGCGCAACCCAAGCGCAGTTGATGCTTACTTGGGTTTAGGCAAATGTATGCATACTAATACTAATACTAATACTTTTACTTTAAGATTGATTATAATCTTAATTATATTTAAGCTCTGTTAATATTTTGTTTTAAGTTTCCCATTTTAACACTTTCTTTTCATAGTTTCAATAGTACCACTGACCACATTTGGCTGTGAAGTGGGGCATATCTGGCCGGACTGGCAAATAAAATACCCCCATCGGGTTGGTGATACTATTGTTATAATTTGCTGTACTTTTTGTATGCTATTTTATTTTAGTTGACTCCACTTATGTCAATATCTTTTAAATAAATATCAAAATAAATAAATAAAGTTATGGTTCTTTTTTAGATAGATATGCGCGTGCTTTATGGGAACCCATATACAAGCCAATGCGTTCAGGATATACCCAATAGCTATTATTATTATTATACTATGAAACTATACATTAAACTATACATTTTTAGCAAATTTGAGAATGATAAAAGAGGGGCTTTACCCAAAATCGGTAAACAACGAATCATTTGTTTGTTGCCTGTGCAGATTGCCGTTAATCGTTGCCGTAATTGTTGCCCAAAATTTGCCGTTAATCGGTCTTGTGAAGTGAGCACATATGTGTGTTTATACATACAATTCGAGTATAATATGACATGTGTATTTCATGTCTCATTTGGAGTTTTTATTGTAAGCAACCCGATATATTCCAAAGCATTTAATAAACGGCAACGGCATATTTTGGGCCTTACAATCTGCACAGGCAACAAGAGTTGCGTACTTTAATAATTATCGACATTTATCTAAATGGTATATGTAGCTTAGTAAGTCAAAATACATTGATGTATATTTAGGAATGATGTATATTTTTAGTGCTATGAAGTGCTTGCCTACGACGATTCCCAAAGAATTATCACTATTCGGCATATTCATTCGTGTAGACGGAAACCTAACTATGTATGTTATCATAGTGTAAAAGCTTAATCAATCAACTAAATTTTAATCAGACAGAAATTAACGATGATGTGGAATTCAAAAAGAAAAAGTGATCTCTTGACAGCAGATATTCAATAACCTCCCGAAACTACATGAATATACCAAGTTCGCACGCTTATGCAGTCAGGCAAATATATGTGAATCGACAGTTATCGATGCATTTTTGTCTTATTTTCAATGAACAACGAACTATTGAATGCTTCACTATATATAATGATTAATTATTTGGCTTGATCGTTGCTTTAACTCTAACTACGCAATGCTATTTTCATAAACATATTGTTTGTTTCTTTTGTCATTATCTTTTATGCCTTTTGTAATTTCATGTTTTTTATTGAGATGATAAAATTATAACAATCTATTTATACGTCATATTAATTGGTTAATAATATTAAAAATTGTCTTGAAGCGTTTAATAATTGAAATAATTGTACATTTATTTTCATATATCCATAGTTTGATACAAAATATATCTGCTCATGCGAAGTCTCGCAGTCGAACGCGCTGTATATTAAATTTCATTCCATTCCATCGTTTCAATCGTTACGCCGTTCTTTGCACTATCGTACACGCACAAAATGAAAAGTAACTTTTATCGATGTTGTCTGAATTGTAATTTCTTTGTGAGTCCTCCAATGTAAACCGTAACTACAGTATATTGTATTTGTAACTCGCAGCTACGATACTTTTTTTTTTATAATTAATAAACTTGTCCATTTGACGCTTGGTTTGTAATATTAAACTAAATGCTAAGCTACACGCATATCAATTAAAATTTGTTAATACTATTATTACAAGAAAGCCAATAAAAACGGAACATGTAAATATTACTCATGTATAGCAATTTTTGTATTTGTAAAGAATTACAACTAAAGATTGTATAAAGTGAATAACTTTTGTGCAAATAGCATATGATTAATATATCTATAAAATGTATATATGTACATGTGGCTCAAGTGTTCCTATACAGTGCTCATGAGTTCATTCCATTTTATGTGCGCACAGATACTTTTCGCTGCGCTGTGTTCTAGCATGAAAATTTGCCCAGTAGAGACGCGAGAAATCGTGAAAGAGAATTTGGTCGTGCCGTGCTAATGCGTTCAGCTCAAAAAGTAGTTGCCCTTGGAGCAATACTTAAATCTTCCTTCTATTTTATATTTTGTGCCTTGCCCTTGCAGCTTTGCACTTGCGCTATGCGCCATGCGCCGTCTGCCGTTTTTGCTCTTTGCTCTTTTATAAGGCGATCCAAAAGTGAATTTTACCACGTATATAGGCTGTAAGTTTTAAAAGTCTTATCCGAACTAATCTTCTGACTACACTCTTGGCTTCTTCGGGGTTAAAAGTTTCAGCAAAAATCATCAATTCTACTCTATTAAAGGTGGGCTAGAATCTTCAGACGTCAAGGAAGACATCGATATTTGCAATTTGCAGAAGCGAAATTGACTTTTCCTTTCACCGTTTATTTTTATATAGTGTCGTCATTGCGTCTAGCGTTTATGGTTTGGTATCGGTTATCGGCTATCGGAACGTAATTTTAGAAAGGTCCGATGTTATGTTTGTTATTTAAGCATTTATGGAAATGATGGAACCTAATATCTCTATCAATAGAGTACTTTTTCATCGATCCTGCAATTGCTTTGACTGCAGCTATACCGTTCTCACTTTTTATACCCTGAACCCATTGAAAATGGGAAATCAGGGTATAATGGTTTTGGGAAAAGTATGTCACGGGCAGACGAAATCATCGCAGACCCCATTCTCGATCAGGGCGGCGAGCTGAGTCAATTTAGCCCTGTCCGTATGAGTGCGTCTACCTCAGAAGATATGAGATCTAGAGAGTTGAAATTTCGCATGCATACTCGTACGCAGTACGAGTTTATCATACATAGCTTTCAAAAACTAATTTGATTTTTTGTTATCGAGAATAATCGATAAATTGATTTAGCTTTTTCAGCCTCATTTGAAAACTATTAGACCTGGAGACTTCAGTTTTATCATGTATATATATTTAATGGATGCGAAGATTTCGGAAATCACGCCCCCAATTAAAAAAAAAGTATTTCAAGTACTAGAGACTTAGGCTTCGGAATAGACATTTTATAATTATGATTACGTTTTAAAAGTTTCATTAGGATTTTCCGTCTACTTAAGAAGTTTTTCAACAAATAAATTCTCATTATCTTTCCAACACTGCAGCGCAGCCCTAGCGCGGTCGCTGATAACTGCGCAGTAAGCAGAGCTCGTGGTCATGCTTGTGTGTGGATGCTTATGTATGTGCATGTGCTTTTGTATGTGTGTACAAAAGAAGTGAAGAATGATTCCTAGTCAAGCAGTCTCGACTAGAGCACTCTTACTTGTTTAGAGCCTGAGAAGGCAGAAGGAGGCGTGTCAGAACCCACATAGTATATTATATTCTTTATCAGGGCGACGAGCTGAGTCTGTCTGTCCGTCTTTCCGTATGTTTGAACGCGTCAATCTTACAAGATATAAGAGCTAGAGACTTGAAATTTGTTCTAAAACATCCGTGTATATAGCGCGGATATTGAGTTTGTCTCCAAAAATCGATTGCTGGTCGAGCATTCTCTTGTTTATTTCTCCTCTAACGTACTATCCAAGAAATATTAGTTAAATGACTATGAATTTCCTATTA